TAGTTTTTTGTATAGCCATATACAGTTTGTGACCCTTGCACTCTGCCATATAAACTATTGTAATGCCATAAACCGTAATTTAATTTTGCTGAAGGATTTAATAGGAGCAATGAAATCCTGAGTAGGGAATCCACTAAAAACCCCAGGGTTTTAAAGAGTAATTCTTTTAGTTGAGGAGAGATGATAGAAAATGTGAATCTAGTACTTCACATTTTTCCCCCCCAATACGGAAAACCTTCTTTAGTCGGTTTGAGTCTTCCTCTCGTATAGGGTACAAGGTCACAAGTCTTTGTAACAGGTTGGTCAATCAGACTTACATGGCTAAATTTTAATCTGCTGAGCTTATTAGAGGAACAACGCTTGTATCACTGTAGTTAAGTTTGTCACAAGTTTCAGTGTAACATCTCTTTGATGTTATGGATGTTATGGATCATGTAAAATCATGGATTTTACATGAATTTAGACTTGAATTTAGCAGAGAAGTTGTGTTGTCCCAGATTTAATTTATCTAAAAGCTCTGTGCATTTTGGTTTGGGTTTTTTTTTTAAACTCTCATTTAAGCGAAATTAATGAAGATTTTAGTCTCACTGTTGGAGACCTGTCTTCTGTTCCAAAGGCAAATGAATTTGGCCATAATAAGATTCTTTTTTGTGGGAGAAAGATGCATATATTTGAGATTAATTCCCTGGATACTAGGTTAGCTTTACATCAGGATTTATATGTTAAACCAGAATGTTTTTATGGATAGGAGATTTCTCACAGGACCTTTAGCGAAAGGCTACAAACTGAATAGCAAAATTTAGCTAAAAGGCTTTTGTGCTGTGATGTAAAAAATATAAGCAACACCAAAACACTCACTCTGGGATGGTTCAGTGAAATAGTAAATGTTAGTGCTTCAATTAATAGGTTAAAAATTACTATTTCAAGACAGCTAGAGGAATGTTCATGAAGAGTACTTTAAAATAGTGGTAGTCTTCTGAGTGCGCTTCTTAGCCAGTTTGCTTTACCTTCAGCCTTTCCACATCATTTTTCCAATACTCATTCATTTTGCAAGTGATGTGAGCAAGTAAGAACGTGAAAATAAAGATTTGGGAGTTTCTGTTCTGTCTATTGATTTTTTTTTTAATTAATTTATTTAATTTGCCTTAATTGCGGCATTAATTCTTTAAATACTTGATAACTGTGATATAGTTCAAGTACATGACGGAGATGAAGCAAGGTATCCTAAAGATACTTCTCTCTTTTTGTTAACAACGTACGGAGCAGGATGATGACAGTTCTGTGAACAGAACTGTTAAATAAAACTGGTTCTCCTGCGTCTGTCAGAGGAGGTTAGGGTAGACAGAAGAAACAGATATGCTTTATATCAAAAAGAATAGATCTGAGAACGTGTCTGATTTCTGTAAGGAAAAAGTAGTATATATCTCTTGGTTAGAGGAAGAAAAGGTGCTGAGCGCTATTTATGGTCACAGTATGTGGGGAAAATATAATATTAGATAAATCAGATTAAAATTTGCAGGACAAAGGAGGCTAGAAGAGCTGGTTTTGGTGTATGAGCAGAATGGTTGAAAGAAGAGGCAAACGTCCTAAGCGCATTTCTTCATCCGTGCTACAAAACTTTAACGTGTTGCTGAATTTAGTTTGCATTCGTGTAGCTTTGCTTGCTTTCGCTATCTTCATCATTCTTTTCATACGTAGGTATGTATTCTGTGCCTCTTCAACAATTGCTTATTCCCTTCCCCAGACTTTTTTTTTTCTTTTGAATTTTTCTGTTTCTTGAAACTGGGTAACATCCGTTAATCTTGATTTTTGAACGCTTCTGTCTCTTCTCTGGCATCTGTCCTTTCATTTTCTCTCCTTTTGTTTGCATTGTGAAGATCCTGTAATAAGGAGGGAAGATATGTGCGAGTAACCACAAGCAGGGTATTCCGTAGAGCGCTGGGTCAGTGGATCTGGCCTGCTGAATAATGAGATTGGATGGGCAGATCAAAACATTCCCGAGTCACTACATGAGAATTGCCAGTTGCAACAGGACAGAAAGCGAGCAAAACCCCAGAAAGGCGTGCTGGGGAGGGCCGCCGTGCTGGCAGGGAGCGCGCACGGGAGGACGCGGTGAGGAAGAGGTGATGCGATTTCTCGTGCACTTTGATTTTCATGAGAAGTAGTTTCCTTTGGCATTTATTTTGGTCTTGTGCAGTTATTTCCAGCTGTAAATCAGGCTTTCTGCTGTTAATGAAACTTTCTGTTGGCATTACTGAGAGACTGAAGAAAATCTTGCTGCTTGCATCCATATTAAGATTAAAAAAATGACTTTTCCGTAGATTCTGAGTTCTGCACATAGCTAGATATTGTGTATGTGTGCTATAAAAAATAAAGACTTTTCTTCTGATGGAGTTTTGACGAGGCCTGGGCCGGAATCTTGTATTTGAACTATTTGAAGCTTCTATCCACACATCATTGTATTTTCATTTACTTCATTATACGCCAAATGCCGACTTTGTCAGGATAGCTCATTTTGTCAAAGGCAAGCAGGTATAATCAAATCTCCAAAGTGCCTTTGGACTTTGCTTTCTTCTCCTCTTTCACTCACAGATTTCCAGCTGTGTGCATCCATAAATTGAGCAGACTGTAGCTGTGTTTTGGTTTGACTGTCAACATTTCTGAAGCTTAGGTTGCTGTCTGAAACAGAATTAGCGGTAAATTTAAAGATGGTCTTCATCTAGCTATGAAGGCAGAGCTTATTTGGGGGGGGGAATTACTGTGCATCTGCTAGCTAGGGATTGAAAGAGGAGATTTACAGTGACCACAGGCAAAACTGGTGGACTCGTCCATCTGAACAAGTCTGTTCTAGTCCCTGGCGTCCTAAGAGCCTGGGCCGTAATTCTGGTTGCCAACCCCGTTAACCATCCGCAGCTTTTTAAAGATCACTTCAAAAATGTTCTGTTGTTGATTACTTTGTAATGAAGGAAGCGGTGGGCAGGGAACCTGGAAGCTTTTGCAGGTTCACAAAATAGGACATTTTTCATCTGGGGGGTAGTCCACCCTTTAATACTGCACACGCTCTGCCCGAGTGTGAAAGTTTTAAGTCCTGCCTGTAGCTTGTGCCCCTCCCTGCCTTTTGTTTTTCAGGGAAAGTCCTTTGACGGTGTCTGTCAAATGAACTAAATAGATCCATCAACAGTAAGCTGATTATTTAGTTGTTGGTTGCTTCATTCTTACTCACTTATGGATGTGCTGCTAAGATCAAGCAGCGTCTTACAGATTGCATAAAACAAATTCTGTGGTCAGTAATGCCAACAGTTACTGGGTGTATTCCCAACATCTCTGTTTGCCAAACCAAAACCTTCAAGTTTGTGAACGGCGTACTTTTTAATTGAATGGGGAGTTTATTTCTCAAGTGCATTCACAGCTTGTTCTTTGGAAACTGTTGAAAGGGTTTGGATGATGATTAAGCGATGACTTGCCGGGTGAAAGCTGCTCTGAAGTCCCACTCATGAAGTTTTGCTGTTCATTAATGCATAAGTGACTTTGTGATTAATGACATGGGTTAGAAGTATCCTGTACCTGCTTAATCGGAAAGATATTTTAGTCTGTTGCAGTGATTGTTCCCTCAATTTCTCCATAGCATCATCTAGCATTTCCTAGGCCCCTCTTGCCCATTCATTCTCTTACTTTCGTGTGGCCGGTGATCTGGAGCAATCTGTCTAACTTTGCCTTGACCGCTGAAAGAAGGGGGTTGTGTTGCCGGGTCGCCTCAGGTTCTCTTCCTCCTTGTATGCTGAAGTGAGACTTGTTTCTTCTTCGGGTAATCTGCTTCAGGACGAGGGATTGTGAATGGGATAAAACTGTTGTTTTCTTGATGGAAATTTGTCCTGGCAAAATGCGCTGGTGTTGCTCTACGGTTTTAAGCACATGAACCGATTTTGATGCCAGGTAGAGTGGCATTAGAAATGGCATAGTGACACTCAGCTACTCCGTGCGCTTGCACGTCTCCTTCATCTTAGTGGCAGTGCTTTCGTAACTTGTGAAGAAAGGTGCTGTGCAGACAATGCTGTTTTTCTATTGAAATGTTAAAAAAAAAAAAATCACCTTTATTTCTCATGGAGGCATCTGGCGTCTGAACACCACTAAACCTCTCTGGGCTGTTGCGGAGTCTTGCTCTGCTGTGGTTCGCCTTGCCCGGTGCCTGTGCTTGGCTGCTCCCTTGCAGGGTGGCAGAACAGGCTGTGTGCCCGCTGCTCGTGTGCCGGAGCCTGTAGTCCGCTGTATTAGCTAAGCTGCTTTAGCAGTCTCTCTCTAACAACATTACAGATTATCAAGACTTGAAAAACACACTTCTCTTGTTTTCAGTACAGATATTTCACAAATGCCTAAGCTGAAAAAGTCCAAAGTCTTGGAACGGATAATGCTTATTAGAGTTTCTGTGCAACTGGTATCTTTATTTTAGACAAGCGTGTGCCTTTCACATGGTAAAAGGTTTGGGAAAAGAGGCTGAAGCTACGGATAAAAGCATAGAGCCCTTGAATCTATACTTTAAAATATTTGTAACTTACTCTGACAGCTAATCAGTTCTAAGGATAAGTATTTACATTGTGGAGATTTTACTGTAGTATAAAATATTTTGGACGGTAAAAACACCTGTGTTTTATTCTGGACTTTCGCATCAAGGTGGCGTTTGAGTGAAAGCATAATGAAAATACTTAAATGCAGCCTTTAAAATGTATTCTCTGATGCCAGCTGACCGTGTCGTAGGAAGATGTGTGCCTATTAAACGCATCCAGGCTGTAGCGTGCCTCCACATTCCCGGTGGCTTCAATACTTACCTGCTTTAAGTGAAAATTCTGTATAAGTATAGAAGGTTACATTTTTGTTATTTCACTTCCATCTTGTCTTTAGCATGTTATGAAGGAGTGTTATAATAAAATAATGTGATGATAATTCTGCAATGAGCCCTCAACATAAGAGTTAGTGAACAATTGATTTGCTTTTGTTTTGTCTTTAGGAGATTCAGTTTTAGAGGTGTGTGGAGGCTGTTACCACTTGCCTTAGAATATCCGAACTAGACACCAGGTAAGTACTGTATTTGTTGATTTCTTGTAGCTACTCATTTAAATGCAAAATAATGCCGAGGAAACAAAGTTCAAAGTTTCTTATAGAAATCTCTAATACCTTACGAAGCCAAGCTTAAAACACCTCGTATTTCTCTTGATAATACGATCTTGTATATGTTTCTCTCCTCTCCCCTTTAAAAATGATTTTTTTTTACCCTCGAAAAATAGCAGATTGCGAGGACGACTCTAAATGAATCTGAGACAGATGGACAGGATGCGGAGGCCAGTGGTGCTATTTTGTTTTTGTGATAAGTCAATATTTACTAATGTGTTTTCTGGCTTGGTGGTTTTATTTAGACTTTTACTAGTAAATACTGGTTCAGATAGAATAATTTAGTTTAAGATTAACAGCTGTAGTTAACTTTCTGCACTGGAAATCTTTGAAAAGCTACTAATCTTAAATTTAACTGACATTACATTTTACCACGGTCAGTAACCAAAAATGCTTTGTGGAATACAAATCTTTCCTAAAATACTCCAGTGCTTCCTAAAGTTGTATAATAAAGCATCGACTAGACATAACTTTTGTAAGAGCTGGCAAAACATCATTTCCAAGCTGGACTCTTTAATCATCTGCTGATATGCTCTTAAAACTGTAATTGCGGAGGGCTTGACAACGTCACAGAGAGTTTGTATTAAAGACGCTTGCAGGGTTGGTGCCTTGGTGGTGTTGGGCTGTGCTAGGGCAGCAGCCTACCTCCTCTGCTCCTGCCCAGCACTTCCAGCACGCCTTTGAGTTTGTCTGTCTCGTTCCTGCTGTTTCTTATTTGTCCCTTTTGGAGCTTTCTCTATTCTCTGTGTTACCGGTGACGTATGGAAAGGCTGGGAAGCTGTTTTGTTCTTCTGGTTTCCGCCAAACCAGATTTGGATAGAGAGTATCCATTAAAGTTAATGACCTGCCATTATCCTATGTCTAGTGGGTAAGTGTCATTTACCACATCAGGAGGTGGTGGATTTTGTGCGTTACAGCGGGATTTCACTTTTTGGAACAGCTGTTGACAGCCAGATTCCCTCCATTGAAGGTAGACACTTCACTAAAATCGTTGTGAACAGCACGTATTTAAAGGTCTGTGCACTGACGCATGCATTCATGGTGTGATTTTATTTATTTTTTTTTATTATTTTTATTTTTTAGTAACTTAAACTTACAAATATACGGGTATTAAGAAAATTAAAATTCTGAAGATTGTGCCCCAATGTCCTGCTGTAGTAGTATTTGTAAAGTTAACGTTGTTTGGTTTCCTCTGCCCCTTCTGATTTTTATCAGTGGAGCCGAACCACCGCAGCTCCTTTCAAAAGCAGTCTTTCCTCCAGTGAGGAAATTCGAGCGAGCGGCTGTGCCTTTGTGACTTACACGGGAAAACGTACAGAATGAATTGGAAATGTGAGAAGTGATATTTTAGGCAACTTGGTACTTCACAGTTTCCAGAGGTTTGTTCATGAATAAATTCTTAATGCTTCATCCCTTTACGGGCGCGAGGCGGTTCTTTCTAGCGGGGATCTGACAGCTGGGATGCAGTGTTGTTACAAGCATCCGCTCCCTGTGTGAGCGGTGTCGGTAACCTCCACCCTCCCTCCTGCCACACAGCTAAGCACGTCTTTTGGGAAAAGTTTGATCGCCCCTCGCTGCCCCCTTCCAGTTAAAGTCTTTGCAGCATCTTGCGGCGGGGTCGGGTGAAGCTTGAGTCCTCCCTCCCCGCTTCTGGCAACCGGATCGGCTGCCGCCCTTTTTGGTGCTGGCATTCATTGGGATGTTCTGTGAGTGTTTAATTCCCTAAACTGGCAGGGAACTACTCGTTTTTCTTGGCTGTAATAATAGTTTGCCGTTTTAATGAGTTAAATACAACTTGTAAAAGGGTCAACAGACCTGGCAGAAACTAAGATATCACCAGTTTCATGAAACTTGATTGGATTCTTTTGGGAAGCTAAAAAGAAAATTAGTCTTTCTAAGGTTCAGTTTACCATTGACGTATTTAAAAAGTTAAGGCTGGCTTCCATGTATAACCTACCAGGTTTCATCGAAGTCTTTTCAGCAAGGTGGTACCAATTGTACTTTCCTGGTCATGCTGAAAACAGTTGCGTTTTCTGGTAAAGCTGACTAACGCAGGATATTCTGGTACACAGATGGTTAAAAACTGTGCTGTTTAATCCAGAGGATTACCTTTCCTCAGAGCCTTCTGAGAGAAACCTCTTCAGGGCATCCTGCCTGGTTAGAATAACGAGCAGATGGCTTGTTGCTGCTGAATACACTTTTTACAAATACAGAGCAGCTTTCAGTACTGTGAATTAGAGCCACTTGCAAAAACAGTAGGATAGATAATATCCTGGTTTATGAAGTACTCTGAACTTAAATAACTTGCACCTTCATTGTCTGTTTCATATTTGAAAAGCCAAAGGTTGCGTTCCTAGTAATAATACTCTTCTGTTCCCTTGAATGACAAGCTTCCCAGATGAATTCCCATTACCACCTTGTCCTCCGCTCTTCTGCCAAGGCCAACGTGTCCATTTCATACCAGTTTTGAAAATCAGACACCCCATTACACTGAACTCCAGACACCCTGAACTGTGCAGATTGAAGCGATTAAAGATTGCAGCAGCGTGGAATTTTATTCCTGTGCCTGTCTTTATTCTTGACAGGCAGCCTGCAGACTGAGACATCGCCTGGATCAAATTGAATTCTTTTTTTATTAAACAAATTGGCCCTAATTTAACAGTGGAGGTTTTATTAAGCAGAGCATAGTGTATTCCTGTGATCTGCAGCATCTGTGCACCAAGGGCACGTTGGATTGATTTTAGAGGAAGCTTGTAATGCCTAAATAGAGCTACAGACTTGAAACAACGCAAGTGTTCATAATGCCCTCGGAGCTCCGGTTTGAAGCAGTACCTTTGGAAGAGCTAAATTAACGTGTACAATCTCAAATCAGGATGCTTCCCCCACCCCTGACTTGAGATTAATCCCGCAGGTCCCTGGCAAAGAGCAGTGGTGTCAGACACGCTCCCCTTGGCTGGATGCTGCTAACGGGTGGCCGGCGTGACAGAGCTGCAGGAGGGTGTCCGAGGGAGGCTGCGGGGCAGCGGTGGTGGTCGTGGTCGGAGAGCGGGAGAAGCTGCGCGGGGGAGCCGGGGCAGCGGTCGGAGCGGGCCCGTGCGATTAGCTAGATTACCAGATAGATGCCAGGATCCATCAGCCTTTGACCTCAGCAGCGGGACCGCTTGGGTGGAGGGGGCTGGGAGGCTGCGGCCGGGTTGACCCATAGCTGCGGGCGGGAAAAGGCTGTCGCGGAGGGTCGTGCCTGGTGTATTCCTGGATGTGGGATTTCTTTCCTGAATTTTTTTTTTTCTTTCTTTTCACTGAATCAGATTGTGCCCAAATACATGAATCGGTTGTCGTGTGTCTTGCAGCACTCGATAATTTTCCTCTCACACAGAAGCCTTTTGGTAGCTGAACAGTATTCTTCAAAAGAAAAGGTTTTCTCTCCCTACCCACATACTCCCCTTCCAGATTTGGGGTGTATTTTGAATGCTTAGCCAAAGCATCAGGGTTTAGACCCTTTATTATTATTATTAATTTATAGCTTCCTTATTAAGTAGCCTTTAATTAAACTTACCAGAGCTGGCAGTGATGTCGTGAAGGAAATTAGATGAGAGTTTGCTAGTGTAGCTGGTGTATCCCAGTCAAAGAAACGGGACGTAGTGCCCGGTGTTAAACTAATCTGAAGTTGGAGAGGCCAAATGCAGAAGAGTCGTTAACAGCAGGCTCTGAGATGAACAAGAAAGTTGTAACGTCTATGTCCGCGTCCTTGCCACCTAGTCACACTTCCACAGGCATGAGGATACCCGGGTGTTGGTACAAACAGAACGGTGATTTTTGTGAAGCGTATCAACGCTATGAGGTCACAGCAAGAACCGGGCAGTGCAAGATGCGACGTCTGAGAGTATTTCTTTCAGGTAGCCTTTTAAAAACTGCCGTTATTAACTTTGTTATATAAGATAAAGGGTTAAATTAGAAAAGTCTGGTGCTTTAAATATCTTTTTCAAAGACTACATAATCTGGTGTAGGCTAACTGTAATGACATAATCCAAAAATAGCCAATAGTCTTCTCTTCGATGCTCATCCTTGCTGCAGTTCTGCAGCTAAAGAATGGCAAATGCTAATCTCCTCAGGATGTTGGAGGACATAACCATATCTGTCCGTGGCATGGCACAGGGGAGATCTCTGGGGCCTTTCACACTTGAATTTGGAGCAGGAGGTTAATTCACGTTCAAGTGGCAATGATTGTAACTAGAATACATGTTAAATGTTTGATCCGCGACTTTAAATTACGAGAGGGGAGATCTCCTCCTCTGTAAGTGAGCAGGCATTCCCTCTTCCATAGCGGGATGCACAGGCCTCGTCAAACTGGATTTTGTCTAAAGGATTCTGCTCGACCTGGTGTCAGTGGTAGGGTGGGAGGCTGGGGTTTTGGGAGGTGCCGTGGAGGTTTGGGTTTTGGGTTGTTTTTTTTTAGCGTAACAGAATGTCTGCAATTGAAAATGCAAATGAAATAACTTAACCCTGTGCAAGTGTGGTGCAAAACGGCAGCCTCAATGTAATAGCAACCTGTCTGTTGTCAAGTTGTTTTTATAGGTATTATCACAAATAAATTATCTTAATGTTAAGACTAAGAAAGCAGATGAAGTAGCTTTAGGGATGTGTATGTAGTACATACCTATAGCTATATACCTCAGCTGCTGATTTTGGGTTTTTGGAAAGAAGAGCTGAGTATATACAGTAGTGGTTCTAGGGTGCCTGGTGGTGTGCTGAAAATGTAATAGTTGTTTTCATTGATAATTCACTGAGTCTTGTAACTTTTTAACTTCCATGTATGTTAAGAGCCTTTTCTTTTCAAAGCACATTTAAACCTTAAAAAGATGAATTTTCACGTGGATGCTCTGGTTTCAAGGCTGATGATGTTAATGAGGTCTGTGTTCTTCTTCATTTAAGCATTTCTTAATCTCTTTTTTGGCAGGGGCCGGTTCTCTCTTCAGGTTAGTTCAAGATGGCAGACCAGAGGCAACGTTCGCTCTCTACCTCTGGAGAATCGTTATACCACGTGCTGGGGTTGGACAAGAACGCCACTTCAGATGATATCAAAAAGTCATACAGGTAAAGGTTCAAGTTCTACACGTCTTGCCCAATAGCACAAATAGCTTTAAATAAGTGTTCAACAGATGGTGTATTTAGTATAGGCTCCAGTTGGTTTATTTAAACCTTTTGCAAGAAAAACATGTAAGAAAACCAGGTGAAAACTTGGTTGATTCTTGCAAAAATCGGTGTGAAAACATGCCTAGGCTTTGTATATAAGTGCTGTTAAGTTTTTACATCTCATCTCGAGTAAGTTAAATTCTCAAATACGCAGTATCATTCTGAAAGGTCTTTAGATAAAGTTGAACAGAGTTTTAAGACGGTGTGATCAGAGTTAAATTCTTCATGTTACGTAGCCTCGTGTCTGGCTTACAGAGACCACAGATGTGCAGTATTGCCCTTGTGTCCATAGTTTCCGATTCTGGCACAGTGAGGTATAGATTAAAGATGCAAATAAGGATGAAAACTGAGTATCAACAATTACTTTTTTCTAAAAATCCATTCAAAATTTCTTATTCTATGTGGAGTTACTATTTTAAAAGAGGATTTTTTTTACTTTATCTCTTTTCTTAAAGAGTTAAACGCATGAAATGGCTTCACATTGACCAAATAAAACAAAACAAAAAAAAAGTCCTGTAACCTCCTCCCTTCCCACGCTCCTGCAAAATCTGTGTATATGCAATTGCTTCTTTACCTTAAGCATGAGCTACGTCTTGTACTATTTGACAAGTGGCAATGTATTCAGCGTTACACTAGGGGTCAGTAGTGATCTTTACTTGAGGATACTCTTTTTCGAAGTTGTTTTCTTTCAGTCTTTAACATTTACCAAAATTTTTTCCTTTCAAAGTTGCGTTTTAATACTGATGGCAACTACACGGTGAAGTCTGTGAATAAACTGGGTCCCCGGATTCTCAAAAATTAGCTGTGTCTTCCTAAAACCTTGAAGTGGGAAGTTTGAATCAGTGGTCTTCAAGCCTTAGCAACTGGAAAGTAATTCTACCTTCTTGGGGGAAAAACTGCAACAGTTTTTCCTTTGGAGGAACGACCCAAATAGATCCTAGGGTGAAATGTAGCTGCTTCATACTTACCTGAACCTTCATCTAATCCTGTTTCCTCTGCTGCTCCTTTACAAAAGGACGACTGACACCTCTTGTTTTCGTTCCATTTGAACATCCTTTGCTGGCCTGTGGGCTAGGGGGTTTGTGTACGTGTAGGAAACGGGAAATGAAAAATACTTATCTATTGCGGCCTGATAGTAGCTAAGGCCTTTCCAGGTTTATATAACTTCACTCTAATTATAAAAACTGTGATTATTTCAGTCCTCACTGAGGCTACGGCATTAGCCGCACCCCTAGACGTTACTTACCCGAGCAACATCGTTTACAGCTTGAGTATTGCAAGCGCACGCTCGACTTACTGTTTGAATGCTGTGATACACTTGCATGCGTGTCCCAATGTGTGCTTGCACAAATCTTTGTTTTCTGTTTGTCTAAATATTTCCTCACTGCAAAGTTGTCGTGTAAACATCTGCAGGCTTCTAGTGTATTTCTCAAATATGGGACTTCAGTAATTTTCTGTAGCAGGACAAGTACCTTTTTTGGTGGAGGAGAACTGTTAGCATACAGTTCTGTATTATCTTTCTACTTGGGAGCACGAATGGCTCAAATGGCAAAACAGCATTTCTTCTGTCTATAAGGAGGTGTTTGGCCAGTTATTTCTACTGATTTCTATAAATAGCCTGGGCCATGTCAGAACTAGCAAATTTATCAGTTCTTAATCTAATTTTTTTTGTGTTATATTTAGAGATCTCTGGGGACTGTAAACTGCTGTCATTTAGTTGTAATAGATCTAGCGTGATTAGGGGAGGTACGTTGTGTTTTCCTGATATCTTGAAACTCTGAAGCTTTTTCTATTCTAGCAAGCCTTGAACTAAGAAGTGCTTTGTTCCTGCACAGGAATTGGTGAATTAACCACAAGTGATGGTCTGGTCTATTTTTGTGTTCAGACGCTGCAGATTAGCTGTGGCAGCTTGCTTTTATTTTTTCTTTGGTACTATATCTTAGACTTGTGATGTGTCTTTTTTCCTGTTACCTTGGTCTGTGCTTTAGCAGGAGCAAAACTTAACTGGTGGAAATTACTAGAGCTGAGGGGTAAAAAAGAGTACTACTTTTCTTCAATGCCTCTCTCTTTTCCCGTTGGATTTCTGGGGGCCAAATCTAGCAGTCTGAAGTCAACCCTGTGAACTAAGCTAGACAGTGCTGTAGCCTTTTGTTATCATCTGAGGAAGAATCATCAGGGAAGTTGAATCACAGTTCCGACTGGAACTTGAAAGTCTCCCTTGAGTGACAGGCTATGGAATTAAAAAAAAAAAAATCAAAACCCAGGAACCCAAATCCCAGTTTTTAATCTCTAACAATCTCTTTTTTCTTTCTGCAGGAAACTTGCATTGAAATATCATCCTGATAAAAACCCTGATAATCCAGAGGCAGCAGAAAAATTTAAAGAGATCAATAATGCACACGCAATATTGACCGATGCCACAAAGCGAAACATTTATGATAAGTATGGTTCTCTGGGTCTGTATGTAGCAGAACAGTTTGGTGAAGAAAATGTGAACACATACTTCGTGCTATCCAGCTGGTGGGCAAAGGTAAATAAAAGTGCAAAGAGAAGTTATTCTGGATTGGCGTTTAAAACTCTTAGAGAGCTCCATTTGATAATTGTGTTTGTTTTTACTCTTGGAAATTGCTGAATTTTTGACACCTGGTTATTAACCTTCTCTTACTGTGTTGCAGTCTCTAGTTCAGAAGTATTTTTCGATTATCTTTCAGTGATACGGGCCTAATAAGCGAGACTTACATTACTAAGAGAAGCTTGGACCCTTCTAGTGGGATTTAGAAGTGATGAGGAGTTTGGGGGGGTTATTCTCTTTGGTAATATCTGCTAAATGATTTTGCAAAACGAGTCCTGACTGTGAACTTGAGCTCACAGAGGAGATCCTGTTTAGAAGTATTACAAACTTACTCAGAGGCTTCCCTGAACAAATGTCACTTCTTCAGCTCTTCTCTGGTTTGAGAGGCTCCAGGTTATTTGTTCACTTGCCCATCCTTGTTTCTTGTGCAGCAGAAAGAGTATCACCAGTGTACCAAAATTACACTGCAAGCTCATGTTTCCTCACAAATGCATGCAAAAAGCTGTTTGAAAGTATTGCAGGCGTGCAGTAGATGTAACAATTCTTGTATAGGTGCCTTCTAGGAGTCTTCTGCCAGTGCCAAGGCATTACTATATTTTACTGGACTGGAATTATTTTTAAGCGTAATATGCTTCCCTCTTTAAGTATTACATTTTAAAATCGCCACATTTACTCAAAAGTGCAAAAAACCTATACGTTGCACATTACACATTTCTCACACTGAAATTGTCCAGGCTTTTGCATTTCGGAGTTCATGTGATTGCACTCTGCCTAGAAAGTAATAAGTAGAAGGCAGCGTGACTGCGAAACTGAAGTGCGAAACCGTAACTGCACCAACTTACTTATTTAGTGACGTGGTGTTGTTCACAGTGCTTTATGGCTGATTAAAACCTTTTCCTAGTCTTGGCATTTCATTTCATAGGTTCGTTTTTCTGCCCTTTGCCAGCATTGCCTCCATCTCTTGATTCCCCTGCAGTAAGAGAACGGGAATATCACCATGCTGGTTTGCTATTTTTAAAATTATTTTTTCAAACAATTACACAGTGACCTATGCGAAAATTTTAGTTTTGCCCATTGTCGCTGTGATAAGCGCCTGGCAGACTTGGCTAGCTCTGGGTTGCCCTGCTCCCGTATTAGTAGCGTCTAACCTCAGGACCCCAAACTTCAGTGTGGTGAGCTCTGCAGCCGTGCCTACAGCCTGGGGTAGGACACCGTCCCTGCTGTAGGTACATGGCGACCTGTACGTCAACTAGCTAGCCTGAATCTTTTCCAGGGTTATTTATGCAAGCTACAATCTGTACCTCTGGGTTTTAATACAGATACGCTTCTTAGACCTGTGTCGTCTTGCAGATGTAGCAGAATAGTCCACCTGAAGTTCCTACAACTTAGGTTTAAGTAAACCAGGTTGGCAGTACTCACCTTGGTGTAAAATGTTCATAGCAGTAGCCAGTTTTGCACACATTTTTAAATATCTCTTGGTGATGAAGTACAAAAAAAAAAAATGTAGCTAGTAAGTTCTGTCTCTACGTCGCCGTATTTTTGGTCTCTGGTTTCCATATCTGAGTCTCTCAAACTCAGTGGACGTGCATGGTAGGCACAGGTTGTGAATACTTCTTTGTCTTCTGTCCTCTGCAGGCCTTGTTTGTGTTCTGTGGGCTCATCACGGGCTGCTATTGCTGTTGCTGTCTGTGCTGCTGCTGTAATTGTTGCTGTGGGAAGTGTAAACCTAAACCTCCCGAAGGTGAAGAGCAGGAATACTACGTCTCTCCAGAGGACTTGGAGGCACAGTTGCAGTCAGATGAAAGGGGTAGGTAAAAACACTGTGAGATTTCTAGGATGACCATGGCATCAGGCTCTGACCGAGCGCTCCGTGTGCTGGTTAAGGAGCAGCACTTGCTTTGTAGAGATCAGCACAGGTCTCGGACTGTAGATGATGGTGAGGGAATACTTGTGGCACAAGAGTTACGTGGGTGACGCTAACACCGGAGATGGAGTTGCTGAAAACTCCCGGAGGGTCTTCGTTGAACTTGGGGTCAGCTTCAAAGCAGTAGGTGACCGTCATTGAGCTTCCTTCCCACGTCGCTGGAGTAACGTTAGCAGCCAGACACATGTGATTCCAGAAAGGGGCTCTTTTACCCCAAAGGATGGGGGGTGTCAAGGCAGTTTTGTTAACTGCGTGGGGCGTAAAGGAAACGGGACTGCTACCCTAGTAGCTATATCTAATACTGTTTATGAAGATTTCTGTAGAATTAAACAGATCATTTAAAAAATTGTGGAGCCTTGTGTGTGCTCTGACCGTGTTTTTAATGGGCGTTGCTGAATGGTGGGTGAGGATCAGCTGCTCTTACACGAAGAAGGAAATACAGTAAATGTTCCACGTGTAGACTTGAGTTGAATGGTATTGTGTGCAGACTGGAAACCAGTAAATTAACATCATGCCCTTCGAGGAGTGTAAAATTGTGTTATCAAAGTGTTGTAGGGAGATTTAACTTACGCTTACCAAAACTTACGCTGTTTTTTTCCCTTGGTGTGCTAAGCCTTTTGTCTCGCTTTTCAGAGGCCTCAGACGCACCTATTGTGATACAGCCAGCGTCAGCCACAGAGACGACCCAGCTCACAGCTGACTCTCACCCCAGCTACCACACCGATGGATTTAATTAAGTTAAGGAAACACTGTAATTAGAATGGATATAACCAAAAAAAATACATGGCCAACTCAGCACTAGAATCATGAACATTAGAAGTAGAGAATGGGGAGGGGGGATAATTCTGCCACAGTAAGACGGCAGCTTTCCAACCTGCCGAAAATATTTTGTAATCCCTTCAGCCTTTTGTCACCTTTCAGTGTCGTATCTTGATGATACGTGAAGTGCTGTAGCATGCGGTATTTAAAGCAGTTTAGCTACGGTCTTATTTGTTTCCTTTCTTTTTTTTTTCTTTTTTTGTTTTTTGTTTTTTTTATAGCATGTATGGAGTTTTGTTACATGTCTGTGGTGTAATGTATTGAGTTGTCACAATATAAGTGTGATGGAGACATTCTGCATTTTAAGCAGTGGTACTGGCCTAAAAATGAGATTTAAAAAGAAAAAGTTTCACAGAAGCCACCATTCTTCCATACAGCTGAGCTGTCGAAGACCTTTAAAAGTTCATGATTTTCACTTGAGTGCAACAAACCAATTCTTCTATTCCTCCTTCTATTCCTGCGTTGTTATCTAAGCAAGTTTACAAAGCCAAGAACCAAAAAATGCCAGTCCTGCAGAGCTGGAATTCTCTTTAATGCTGGTTTTCAGCTTAAATAAATTCTACCTTGAAAAATAAGAAGGGAGAGTTTCCAATCTTTGAACAGTAAATTGATGAACAGCTCTTTATGTGTAAGGCGATCTTCAGTGACAGCGTAACCACAAACTGTAGTTTGTCACAAAACCAACTGTGAATGGGCTGATGTGGTGGTGGTGGCGGCGGGATTTTAACTTCAAGCGCAATTCTGTTTTGGTTTGAGTTCAGCCTTTTTCCTGAAATGCTAAAGACCAAATAGTGCAGCTTTTTTTGAATGCATGAGAATCTTAAAGTGAAACTGGTCAATTGGTTTTCACTGAGCAAGTGAGTAAAACGCAGACCGTAGGCAACAGCATAAATGTTAAAAAAAAAAAAATTGGTTTTTAAAAATCTGTTCTAATAATTTGAGATTCTGATAGACAAATGGGGTATTACGTGTCTGTTTTTTAAAGCTTTTATGATACACTAGCCCTTTAATTTTCTCATGAACATCTTTGTGGGGTACTTAAGTGGCTTTTTAAGAGCACAACACCTTTGTGTTTATATTGTATAATTTGCACATTGTCTTGCATTTAGACTTGTTTACACCAGTGTTTTTCTTTTCCTCAGAACAACTATGGGGAAACCGTTGAAAGGTTTCCTGTACTATTTTGAAACCAAATCATGTTTGAATACTGCTCTAGAAACTGTGGTTTATTGAGATTTAACTGTTAAAAAAGCATTTTAGGCAGCTGCTGAATTGCTGGTGTATTTTGTTGTTAATAATCTTGCTTTAGACGAGACGGAGTCAGGATCCAGAACAGCTGCCAGAGATCCTACACTTGGCACTTTTGGCGGTTGATTACAGCCTCCTTAATGTTGATGTTTATGGTTTTATATCACAACGCCTCGACTGTCCTTTGTACCCCCCATCTCCCCTTTGCCTTTTTCACCTATTTCTGTTGAGAGGCTATTTACAGCCTTCCTCCCGGTGTTTGCTTTGAAGGTCTTTCGTGCTGCTCTCTTACAAGATCCAGGTGTTACTTTTGAAGGGGGTAAAGTGCTGCCGGTCTGTAAGAAAACCATCAGAAAATGAAGGGGACTCTGCTGCCGGAGAGTCGTTCTGAATATATTTTCACGCTTTGCATGAGCTGAAAATGATGGAGCACGTAAAACCTGACGTGAAACCGTGTTAAACGTGCTGGGTAGAAGAAAATGTTCTTAACACGGTCTCGATGCTAAGTGGGGGTCGTTTGCAAAATCAGACTTCCCTGGAGCTGTTGGTACAAGCACGTGTTTGTTGCCTGCGTGCGAGCTTGTTGCACATCGGCACGCTTGTGATACCACATCGGGTCCCAAAAATTCAAAAAGAAATGTCACTTTTAATTAACTGGCTAGATTTCAGCAGCACGCTTAAGTCATTTCTTCCTCGTCGATAGTCCTTTTAGACCTGGAACTTGGTGGTTTGCTGGAAGATACTTTCAACTTTTTCTGTCCGGGAAACTCTCTTGGGTGGCCTTGAGGACAGTCGTGTATGATTTGGCTTGAGGTCCGTATTTAATTAAAGTCTTCGTTTGACCCCTTGGAATGAAAAGCAATTTTTAGGCTTAAAAAAATAATGGAACATTGCCTATCCTTGTAGATTTTGCCTGAAGCCTGTTCTTGATGTTGAATTGCACGCTGGAATATGCTTGAATATCTGCAGGCTTTGTCCCCTAAAAACTCACTGGTTAAAATTGCCCTTTTCTGTGCAAATTATGTTCTTGGTAAAAAAAGAAGAATAGTGTTAGGGGTTTTTTTGGCTTTGTAAATGAGCACAGTCGATCAGAGTGACTCGGTAGAATGAGGAAAAGGCTGTTTCCCTCGTGCTGTGGTTTGTCACACTCCGTGTCCCCGTGTTCATCGAGACGGGTAACACAAAGCCGGTTGTTGCTCCAGCGCGGAGCAGCTGCGACCCCCGACATTGGGGGCTGGTTGTGGGTGTTCGTTTGGAATAATGCTCTATTTCTTAACCCCTCTGGGCTACTTCCACCGAACTGGAACGGCTGGCGGGAGGCTGGGGCTCCGGGGAGGTCTGTGATGCACCTGGAGTCGCTCTGCGGGCTCCTGACGTCGGAACCGAAATGTGGGCAGCAAACGAGGATGAGAGGCGAGACCGTTATCCGTGTTGTGCACTGCTTGGGAGAAGATGGCATCCGGGATGAATTTGCTGGTTTAGCTCTTCGCTTAGCAAGGCACGGGTTGGAGAGAGAGACTGCTTTCCTTTCAGCTGTGTCTGTGGGTGGTGTGCGAATAGTAAATTGGTCTGTATGATGTTAGATGCTCCAAGGGAAACTACTCTGAGATCCCAGTTACAGGGAATGACGGCAGAACACATTTTTAGATGAATATTCATGGTTTTTTGGAACCGTTTTAAGTTTGCCCATGTTACTCTAATCTCTGAATTTAGGATTATTGTGTATTAATGTGGTTCTTCTTGAACTATATAAGCAAGCTATTTAAACATTGCTTCTTCAAAACAAAACTTGTGTAATCAGAAGATAAGTAGGTTAATGCCCGCTTCTTTTCTGCTCTTGTAGGTAAGGTACAAGAGTATCCCGGGCTCTGCCATGAGTTGCGCTTCAAAATGGCCAAGCTGAATCCTAGTAAATGCAAAGTTGTATTGGAAATAATGGTTAAAAATCTGGTGCAGAAGATCACTCGGCAGTTCTGAGCCTGGGCGGGTGGAGCTGCAGTGTCCCCGGCAGAACTCCGGTGCCGTAGCGTTGCAGGCGCTGCAGCCCGTTACCTGGCTTACATGCAGAATGTTTCCTTCCAAAATTAAACCTGAGCACTGTTGACCTCTGTTCAGCGTGTTGCCAGAATTAAAACTTGAGCTTTGGTGGGGTTTTTTTTTGGGGGGGGGGGGG